TATATATATATATATATATATTGAAAGGGATTATCCTAGAAAACCTGTCGCAGAAACCGCTATTCTCCATCACCTTCATGGACCTACGTCACCGAGTTCAACTTCAATCAACCTCCAGTGTTATTTATGGACTGGCCCCTCAACCATCTAAATTACTTGTATCTCTGTAACCAGTCACTGCGAAGGTGATCGGCACGCGTTTGTTTACGCCCAAGCTATGCGCACAAGGAGGATTGTTTCGTGCCTTCAAACTACCGTAGGCATAGATCGATCACGCATATGAGGTACTAAAACCTGATTGCAAAGTTGTAGTAACCTAGGGCTATGGAATCTGTCACATCACTCCCCTCCTCGTCTTCTCTCTCTCAACCAGTCTTTGCAACATTTTGATCAACCATTCCTTATAAAATTTCACCTTCTTTTATGATCTGCACAACCAAGTAGGTGAATCAATAAGCGAAAGTTGTTCGACTATGAACAGGTGTTCTGAAGTCATATTGGGAATATTCTGAGATCTTAGTTATTAATTATTCAATGGATATGATAGCTGAAAATCAGTGCTCTGTCATAGAAGTAGTGAATGTGCTTGTGTTCGACCTGTAGAAGATTTTGGGCGGCTATTAACATGAAAATATCATGCCGATTGTATCATGATGCCATGGCTCACTACAGTAATGAGCCTAAGCAAGCACCTAAATTCATTGTTGTAGTATTCCACGATACGCCTAACGGTTTTGATTAGCATATTGACTTACTTGATGTTGTGAGCATCGTTCATCAAGACCAACAATGTTCATGCATTAGCCTTGCTCCTAAGGGATGTGATTGATTGGAATAGTCAACACAGCTAGATTCACATATCTGAATCAGTGAAAATTGGTTAGCATCATCAAGGGAAAAACCAAATTCAAATTAGCCTATCCTGGTTCGAGAAGCCTCTGAAAGCCTCAGTGTGGTCGGGGTGAGTGTCTAGGGTTGTGACTAGTCATCCTTGCCTTGCATCGCACGAAACGCTTCCTTACGACAAAACGTCTCAAACAGCGCCTACTGAGGAAGCCCTATTTACTGCCTTCTCCTGGCAGAGGTGTTTTCCTACCGAAGTGAGAGGAAAAAAAGCGAACATCCGGGTCTATAGCCGGGTTGGTGAACCATTGGTAGTTCACGTAGGAGAGTTGGCCAAAATCCCTGATTCCAAACCAACCAAGAGAGGACGTACGAACCAGGCCCACACCTTCCCGTTTGTGGCGGATGTGGTCACCGCCTTGACTGGGCATTAAGGTATACACAGCACCTCGGACGTTTGGTCCCGTAGAAAGGGCGTGATTCGATAAACTGAACACCGGCCCTCAATGGATTGCGGTTTTCACACATTACCCCGTTGCCTTGTGGGTCAGACTTTGGCTAGCCAAAGGCTCCGGTTGTGGATTACTCAAGAAAATTCACCTGCAATGGCCTGACCAACCTGGCAGTATTCCGCCCACATGCAAATCATGGGACGTTTTTACTTTTCATAAAGATTATTGTACCATGATTTTTTAGCACATAGTCTAGCGTCAGACTTGTGAAATATATATATTTGACAATAAGTAGTATGTGAATGACTGGAAAAAAATTCCCTGGAAGCACACGACCGGTTTCGCGCTTCTTGCCTCTCGTGAGGCATGCGTATCCGGTAATCTCTTGCTAATTCATTCACACAGTTGTGCCCAGGAAGTGTATTTTCGTCACAACAAACTTGTTTGCAACACCAGGTGACCATTGGATAGACAGCTCTTTCACAGCTAGTCCAATGAATAATCAATGCTATGATTCGATGTTTGTAAGTGGGTTAGATGCTACTAACCGCAGCAAACGTGGCCTGATGGTCTTGGCAGAATATTTGAATGTGATGAATGTACATTTCCTGGGTACACGTTTATGAATGAACTCGCAAAAGATTACCGAATACACATACCTGACGAGCGGCAAGAAGCGTGAA